CAGAGGTGTGTATACAAATGGTGTGTTTCCAAAGTGGGTGTATTTATGTGGACTTCTGAGGGTGCATGCAAAGTAGGTTTGTGTGTTGTAAGATGCCATGGCATGTGTGTGACCACCTGATTGCATGGATGGATAGGGCTATATTAGGGCTTGTGAGAGAGAAGCATATACATATTTAAAAGCTCATTACAGTAAAGTTTAGGTCTATTATTTTTTAATTCTCAGATTTATTGATTAGTCTAAGCGTCAGAAAAGGCAGGAAAATTGATAATACCATATTTACTCAAATACAAGACAAGGTTTATTCCCCCAACTGTCATAGGAAAAGAAGCCCCTTGTCTTATAATCACATACAAGGAAATCTCACTAAATACATTGCCTTTGATTAAACTGCTGCCAAAAACAGTATGCACTCCACAATAGAAACCAACTATGAAGTTGATTAAATGAACCCAATCCTGAGCATGATTATAAAACACAGCCCCATATTGGGCAAACATGTTAATATTTTCTTTTTCTTTTTTTTTATCTTGTGTGTCGGGTCAAATCAATTTAATCAGGTCCGAATTCTATTGACTGAGCAGAGCTCAGTCATTTAAGTCTGTGTGGTGCTACCATCAGCAAGTATCCTGCTTCCCAGAATCGTCAGTCTGGGGCTTCAGATACTCCCAAATCTGTGGTAGGCAGCCTGCGTGCAAGCCCTAAGCCTGGAGGCCTTGAAGTTCAGAAGCCTCTTAGTCTCACTTGTCCCTTTGGCCAAAAAGCCAAAGGAGCAAACTAGAGGAAGAGCCTGAGAGCAATCCCCCATCAGCATAAATTGCATAGCCGAGATCCTCACATTTGGAGGTATTTGTAGACTCTACGATTTTAATCAACAGATTTTAATTGAGTAAATATGGTACTTCTTGGGGAGGGATGTTCACTAATCTTGGTAATAACTTAAAATGTTCAATCAAATCTTTCCTCAGGGTGAATTTCAGGGAAGCAAGGAATTAGAATAGGATAAACTACTCCACTGTCCAGTGCTTTCATAAAAGGCCCTGGGACTATGTCCCCATCTGTCTTTAACCAATGAAATAATTTTGACCAACATCTGGGCCCAAATCTGCTACTTTCCCTTTTGTAATCTCTGCAACTAGATCCAAGGGTATCAATGAGATTGTTTTTATAAGGAAGGGATGCTGAGATCAGTTCTCTGAGCACTATACCTCATAGGTTGTTGGCTACTGCATGGATGAGGCTCTATGGGAAGGGAGGTTCATTAAGTGGCAAAACCTGCCCTCAGGTCTGGAGATAAATGAGAGTTCCTTACAGCCTGAAATGTCCTGATTCTTTTACTTCAAAACAGGAAAGAAGTCTAGGGCAGGTTTGGGGGCTTCCTGCCTGGGATTGGAGGTTGGAGGTTTTTTGCTCCCTTATGAATAGGGTGATGGAAGGCTGTGGGGTGAAGGCTACTCCAGGATTTAAAATAGTCTTAAAGCCTTAGAGAGGCCAGTTCTTCTCTTCCATTAAACAGAGATCCATCATGTGCATCCCACATATTCTACGGGCATCAGAAGGGGGTTTGCCCCTGAATATATTTGTGCCCATACCTTAAATAATGCAAAAGAGCAATCCACTAACAGTTTCATCACTGGAGACCTGGAACTGAACCCTGAATGAAGACATCAGTAAAACTAGCTCCTTACTCTAGCCCCAAGAAACAAAACCATGCAACTGGAACAACTATTGGTTGCATGTAAAAGACTTATTTGGAGATGCCCAGGGCTTGAACAGCAGGGATGTGCTTAATAGCAGAGGTGAGGTCTGGCAGAGCTCCAGGACAGCATGTCTGCCCGGTGTGTGGGGAGCCTGGGACTGCAATAGCAGATGTGGCTGCACCAAGGTGCACAGGGAGTGCTATGCAAGACCACAGGACTGGACAAGCACAGGATGCTGCAGAACTGGGCAAGGGAGGACTGACAGAGATTTGTGAGCAGGTGTGTTAGGGGGAGGGGAGATTAGAGGGGCATGACTTTTCAGGGAGATTAATATATGCCAGTGCTGACAGATGTACCCCTATGTACTGCACCCAAAGACACTTGTATCCTAGAAATACCTGTATTGGCACTTGTCAGTACAGAAGCTGTGCCACACCAAGTTACCCACGCTACAGTTTCAGTTACCCAGGCTTTGTCCACAAAAATGCAAGGTGATCTATTCCCAGTTTATGCTCACATGCAACAGTTTGGCCTGTTTTTAGATAAGCGTCTATTAAACATTTCTTCCACTTATTCTTCTATATCTAATCAGCCTAGTCTGACAGACTTCAACTACAGAGAAAGCCATGGGAAAATGCTTTTTCCTGTATAGAAATCAGTGAGGTCCTTTTATTCCCAGAGGCCACACTATTACTGCTAAGGGCACTGATTCAGCATAACATGTGCATATCATTTAAACACATGAGTGGTTCCCCCTGAAGTGAAACAGAGCTAGACAGGTAATTAGGACCTTACTGAATAGAGGGAAAATGATCATCCTTGCACTAGGCCTCTGCATTGTAATGGAGATTTAGATCCCTAGTGTAGTCAATGTTACATTTAAGGAGTTTTTGTGGTAGATGGAACAGACACCTGATTTCAGTAAAGAAAGTATCCTAGCATATACGATGCAGGATTTGCAGGCTTAACAATATTTGCAAAAGCAGTTTTGTGTGATGAGATCTCCAGGGCACTGAAGAACTGATCTCAATTCCCGACCAGCTGGGGTGATTTTAGCTTGGGAAAATAACAAACAATAGTATTGAGGTGAATGGTGCAGTTGGTATCCTCTTAAGATTGCACTGAGTGCTACCTGTGCAGCTACTCATTCTTTGAATCATACTGGAAGCCCCAGCATGCCATCATGTGCTTGCTAAATTGATCTGGCCAAGTCAGTGTTACTGCCCTTCTCTGAAGGTCTGAAATTACCTCTGCTTTGCATGGATCAGTTATCATTTCACTTTCCATTACTCTCCCCCACCGTTGGGAATGCAGCTGAGCCAACAGAGCAAAGACTTCTGGAAAACAATTTTCACAAGTTATTATTTCTCAGAGGCAGAAGCTTGCTCTGGCCCCCCTCTGCCTTCAGCTGGTTTTGTTGCCCTGCTTTGTGACACTAGAACCCAGCCCTGCTCTCACAATCATCAAAGCCAAAACCATCCATTAACTTCTTTAGGTCCTTTCCTTACAATAACTGTGAATTTAATTAATATCCAAGACATAGCATTCCCAGAACACATAAAGAACTTACTGGTAGCTTACTGAAGAGCCCACTGAGAGGGTACTGGATGGTCTTCCATGGACAACCTCTGAATGTTATTACTTGCAAATAGCAGCTGATTTTCCACCTAGGATTTTTCCTTAGGGAACGTGATATTGCTATAAATACCTTGATGTAGTACATTACAATAGTCACTAATGCAGGCATATGGCAGCAGTTCTACCAGTGTAACATACAGTATATACTGGACTCATACGGACCCTGTCCTGTACTAGCACGCTGATTTTACTAGGGGTGGAATCATGACCTCCCTGAAGTCAATGGAAGTTATGCCATTCATCTCAACCAGGCCAAGATTTCAGCCCATGCATTTGCACCAGTCTAACTACACAGATTTAACTACATCAGTGCACATTTATAATGTCTAGAGCAGCCCTTAGGAACAGCAGCAGTGAAACAGGTTTTAAAGACTAGCAGGAGACATTGCAGATTGCAAGACAAGGTCACACGTGGCACTTCTCAGCAGGTGTGTCTATATGTGTGTATTTAATGCTCATTAACCCGATTTAAGGCGCATTAAGGATGTGTGTCTACATGTGCACACCCCTAATGTGCCTTAAATATGGCAATTTAAGGCTATTCGAGCCTAAATTTGATACCTGCATAAAGTAGGTATCAAATTTATGCGCAAATAGTTAAATTGCCTTAGCGAACATGTAGATGCGCTAATGCGCATTCATGCAGTGAGTGGCCATTGACTTGGGACTAACTTTAGTCCCAAGTCGGTCTGTATACCCATGTTAATGCACATTAGTGCGTGCATTGGGGGGGCGGTGCCTAAATCGCCCTAATGTGCATTAGGCTAATGCACATTAAGTTTAGGCACGTGTAAAAACATGTGTTTTTACACTCATGTAAAAACATGAGTGTAGACACGCTCAGCCTGACCTATGTCCACATAATATTCAGACATCTGGTTATTGTCAGAGCCATTATGTGAAGGAGACTGTGCGTGCGTGTGCTTAATTTCCAAGCTAATGAGCCAGATTCAGAGTGGTTATAAATAGGTGCATTCCCACTGCCTTCCGTTATATCAAACCAGTTTACACCAGGGCTGAATTTGACCCCCAAATTACATAGAAATCTAAAATTGATGCCAAGTGGGCACTGGCTTTTGTATTAAAATTACTCTCTCCATTTTATACGCTGCTCTATGCATGTTCTTTAACATCACCCGATGAAGTGAGCTTTGACTCAAGAAAGCTTGTGCTATATAAAATCTACTTTGGTTAGTCTATAAGGTGCAAATCTACTCTGTCTTCTACAGAAATACAGTCCAAATTTCTTTCCTTCCTCTGCCAATTGCTGGCAAAATCAACATATGGCCAGATTCTATTGTTTAAGGGAGGTAAGTCAAGAATAATTTCACTTAAAACCAATATGATAGAAGAATACATATCAGCTCATAGCAAAATTAGACTTTTATCCTGGACATGACACACTTTGTCAGTGTGTTACATTCTCCACTTGTGGGAGAGTATCAACAAGAACCTCAAGCAGTACAGCATTCAGCCTCCTTTTTGGGCTATTATTGTGTAACCATCCACTGCCACATATCATTCAAATAATAAAAAAATACTTTCTCATGGGCAAGATTTGAAACACAGACATTTCAGCCTGGCAGGAATGAGTCACACTAGACAGGGTTTGGGAGGAAAACTCGAAAACACCACATATAAATCACTGGGAATGCAAGACAGTTCACTGGATGCAGGAGAGATTTTTTTCCTCCTTTAATTTAGTAGTAACAATGTCTACAATGCATTGAGTTGTAAATTAACTACATTCTTCTTACTTAGCTGGGAGGTTTGACATTTGTATTTTTTTTTTAATACCTCCTGAAAGGGAAATAATTTTGAAAATCCGATGAGTGTCTTTTAAAGCGATCAGTGGGGGAACTTCAACGGTAATAATACCCCCTAGCTAGTGAGCCTTGTCTATTTGATATCAAAGTGCTTTGCAAAGGTGCGTAAAGTATCAGATTTCCCACATTATAGGTGGGGAAAACCGACATGGGTGTGTGAAGTGATTTGCCCAAGGTCATACAGCAGGTCAGCAGCAAAGCTGGAAACAGAACCCAGGTCTCCTGATTCCCAGTCCAGTGCTTTCCTCACTGGACCAAACACAACCCCTGTAAAAAAAAGTATCTGTATTGTCCAGTGTCCAGCACAGATCCTCGTGTTATACAGATACGTCTGGCTTCACCTCTCCTGCTGTCCCATTGGCTCCATTTAACCCAGCTGGCTCCTTTCCATCATCTTCTTCCTCCTCTTTCTCCTTTTTGGCCATTTCTGCTTCTCCGCCCCCACTCAGGAGGGTGGCATTGGAGAGGTGTCTGAGGAGCCGGCCCTCCTGGAGAGATTCAGCCAGCTCTTTGGCGCAGCACGCAGGCGTGTTGGTTTCGTAGGTGTTGTGGAAGCTGTTGTAGTCCACTTCATAAAAGTCCTTCTCGAGGGTGAGGACAGGAGTGAAGCGATGTCCCCACAGCACTTCTTTGTCCATGTAGGAGCTCCGGGCCTGGCATGTCATCCCTGGATGCAAACAAAGGGATGGTAAATGCCAAGCTGTGCTACATGCCCACGCCAGCCCCCTTTCATTTACGAGCACTGCAACAAATGCCCAGACCTGATTGTTCTGAAAGTTTCCCTCTTAATAAAGCCTCACCAGGGGTTTGCATCTCAAACACAGGAAAAACAAGCCCATTGTAGTCTCCGCTCACAATGTGGCTCTTTACTAAACCTGGCAGTTACCAGTATGAGCTTTCAAGCCACTAAGCAAAGGCCAGCTAGTTGAGGCACTGCTGCACACCAACTGCCTACCTCTTCACGTTGCTGTGCAAATGCAGGTCCATTCTTGTTTTCAGTACACCTGGCTAGTCCAGGGCTGGGCTTGCAGCCACCCCCAACAATGCCTCTAGAGAGCCCCTTGCCATGCCAGCCCTGGCACTACCCTGCCAACGCACCTCTGTCTTGGCCAGCAGTGGCCCTTGCTCTGCCAGTTGTCCCTGATCAAATGTGAATAATTTGATCTTTAACAGCAATGGCTATTTCATTCTGCTCCATCACCTACTTGTGCTACGTGCTGAGGCCAAGATCCTGAGAGTATTTCAGAACCTGTGTCCCACTGATTTCTCTGAGAGTTCAGTCCTAAATACCTTTCAAGATCTGACCCCCAAGCATCCAGAGCTGGTTGTAGGACCCACCACAGTGCTCACTGATGGCAAGGGGAGCATTTCCACTGGGTTTCAGTGAGCTTTGAATCAACTGACCAATGGGAGACCTGGAAGTGATCTCTCTTGAGCCTGCCATCAGCTCCAAGGACACGAGTTTATTTAGCACATTTGCTTATTTTGGGAAAGTTTGAAGAAAAATACTGTCACGGCTGATCAAAGATAAAAATCAGCCTTGGCATGAGTGAGGACAGCGCTCCCTAGATACACTTGCCCATGCCAAGTCTACGTTCTCTCCCCAATGTTTCCCTTTTGTTTGCTCTAAATTTGTTCCAGGGTTATTTGGAAAGCCTGACGCACAAAGTCCTCCTGAGGCTCACATTGGTGTGGAAGAAAGGCCTGGCTGGAACAAGTTCAAACCACGTCCTCTGTTCTTGTCCTGGCCAACCTTCCCAAATCTAATTCTCACAGCCCAAATTACATTACCAGAAGACTAAGGCTGTATGGAGGCAGGGGAGGGTGTTAGTGCCAGGGGCATTTATGATTCAGGGGGGAACATACCATATGTCCTCAACCACCTGGGCACTATGAAGCTGGGATGGGAAGCAGGCCTATCCTGCCGAGCTCAGGTGTAAGACAACATATGGTACCTCTTCTCTTAAAACTGAAAGCAGCCTTGGCTTCTGGCTCCTCTCTTACCCTCCAGGACCCTCCTTTTTTGAGGCAGCTGGGGTATTCCCATGAGCATGACTGAGCAGTACCTGTTTGTGAGCACCCCTTCCTGTGCAGTTTTAGTGGTAGCTATTTCTTCTGGGAGTGTCTTTCCCTTCCCTATGGGCCCTGCCAAGAGTTTTGCAAACTTTAGTTAAGCTTCCTCACATCTGCCTCCTTTCCATGCCCAGCGGAGACGAGTGATCTGGGAAACTGAGGCACAAAGAAGTGATGGAAGTTTGTCCTACCAGAAGTTGATGGCAAAGGTAGGAAATGAAATGACACCCTTTGCATTCCAGGTCTGCACTTGAAACATGAGGCCAGTCTGAAATACGGGGACGAGTAACGGGGTTCTGCTACCCAGGTTCCAGTTACAACCGTGTTTTCTGCTATTTTCAGTATAAGATCACAGGACTTCATAGGGTTGGTATAACTCTGCTGAATTACGTTAAGTTCTAGTGTGGTCGTACAAGGGACACTTCTGGCCCGTTGGCTAAAAGGAAAAAATAAAAGGTGCCCTTGACTATCTCTGTGGCTTGCAGTACACAGGAATGGGAGACCCTCATAATGTCAGTACAGGGGTGGAGTTCAGATGAGTAGCTCATACACTCGGGATAGAGTGGGTAACTGTAGCCCTTCTTTTCTGCTAACTGCATCTTTACATTTACTATCTTAGGTACTTACGTGGTCCAATTTATGCTTGTATTAGAGCACCTCACCATATTATATATATTTGTGTTCAGAATGTCCATGTCGAAAGGCAGAAAAATGACACTCCACTTTCCCAAGTGGGGAACTGAAGTCTGGAGAGATGATGGTTATCTGAGAACTTAGTTGGAGTGTCTCAGGCTACCATTGACTACTGGCCTTTGCAATAACTGGGCTGGTAGACAGAGATGGGTCTTTTGTTCTCACAGTTGCAGTGGCCTACTGTAGACATCACTCTCTCCTGAAAACTTTAATTTTGTGCTTTCCTCATCCTAAAATGAAAGGCAGCGAGGCTAGAGGTACAATGAGTGCTTGAAAGGGTGCAGGCATGTGGACCACGGCACTCTGAGAAATTCCTGGCTCTGTTTTGTGGACCAAAGGAGCAAACAGGTTTTTCAGGGAGATCTCTGCTATTACTTGCTGCCATGCAGGAACAACAAGTACAGCGTTAGTCATGATGTTCTGGCACTTCTGCTTCCTGGACTGGAAGGAACCAGGAAGTGCAGAGGCTGAGACGAAAAATAAAATAATGGAGGAGGAAACATAACCCAACTGTTCTGAGTGTTGAAAAGATCTGGGCAGCTTTTCAGGAAGGGCACAGTTCTTCTTTGTCCATGCAAAACAGGCTGCTGAGAGCCCTGCCATAGAGGTCATTCCCACATGCTGTAAGAGGAAGGATAGTATTTAACCTTCTCTCTGGCCGCTACGAGCCCATAGGAGGGCCCATAGTCCATAGTCAGGGGCTCTGTGGCACCCACTCCGCTCACAAAGCAATGATCACTGTACACCCTCTCTCTCCCTTAAACAGGAGGCTTTTTGTGGGGGGATTTTAAAGGCCAGTGTTGCATATTTGTTAGGCTGGCTCTAAGGTGTCTTTCACCAGCTCTGTCATGTTAAGAGTACAGAGGCCTGAACAATGATCTGTGAGTGTGTGTGTGTGTGTGTGTGTGTGTGTGTAGGGAGAGGGGACAGCAATGTCTGCCTCACAGGCCCTGGGCAGTGGCTGTGCACAGGTCAGCTTTCAGCTGCGGCCACAGCTACTTTTGCAGCCCCCCTCCAAAGGGGGCATCTGGGGCTACTGGCCCAGCTGCACTCCATCAGTTATGCTACTGGTCCACCCAAGCCTAGCAGCAGAAGATACGCCAGCTTCCCTAGCCAACATCACAAAGGGGAGCAATGGAGTTAGCGTCACATTTGACTGCCTTAAACTTCTCCACCCAAAGGACCAAGTTGCTATTTTACAGCTGGGTCAACCAGCGGTGGCCTTTAGCGTAAGCTTAGAGCAAGGCATCAATTTGCTCCTCGACAGCTGTTGGGAGTCCCTTGCATGCTCTGCCGCTGCACCCCCATGTCTAGGGGAGGGTGATTCAGAAGCAACATGCGGTCTAAAGGGAGCAGAGTCCCTCCCCTCCCCCCTGCTGACAGACCTAACATGTACCTTTGACCAGGATCTGCTCAGGTCTTCAACTCTTCCTCCAAGGTGCTGAGCAGAGGGAGATAAGGGCACTTGATTCCTTACAGGAATAAGCCCTAGAAATGGACTGGCTGGCTCTCATCACAGAGCTCCCATTGCTCCCTCCTATGACAAGATCTCAGAGATCAAGAGGGAGACCCCCTCCCAGCACCAGAGATGGAAAGACACATGGCTTGAAGCACTTGAAGGGAATTTCTGCCTTGCAACCAGGGCCTTGGAAGAGCTCCTGTACCTCGGGGTGTACCTCACCCTGATCCTGAGCTCCACACAGGCAGTCAGGTATCTCCTGCTCAAAGTATTCAGTTAGGACAGAACCATGTAAAGCTTTCATCAGCCATATACATAACACCAGCTTCCAGTAATAGCTGCTTTTCATAACCCCAGAGGTACCCAGAGCCAGCACAATTTCATAGACATTAGATACAGACATTAGGGCTGGAAGGGACCTTGCAAGATCATCAGGTCCAGCCCCATATAAGACAATCTGCAAGTGCTCTGTAATCCCAATCAAATACCCCTTTTTAGCACATGTGCATTGGTGTCTAATTGCTTGGGGATACACTACCCGGCCACTCCAACATCACGCAGTGAACAGCAGCCTTGGCCCTAATGCACATTGCGATACGTGTCTGATCTATAGGCTGCCCCAGTGCGCCCCAGCCTAGTGAATGGATGCATCTGTACTGTCCCCAGCTAATTTTTCCCTGTAACTGAAAGGAAAACAAGGGAGATACTGACACAAGAAACCTTTCTTTTAAGACAGCATGGGTGCAGCTGCTTTCCCTTTGCAGACCACGTGTGTTCTGATCTCTGCACATTCAAAAGCCGATTTTGCACTGGGTTGAGTAATTCACGGGACTAGAGCCTTTCAAATGCTGCAGTGGGTTATTAGGAGAAATCAGCAGTTTCATTTCACAGGCCAAGCACAAATCCATCCCCCTGGGATATCGCTAGGGTAATTATTCACGACGGAGTGTGCTTACATTAGCTGAGGACCACAGCAGTTCTGCCACTGCTGCTCTACACCACTGCAGTGACACTAATATATAACATGGCTCCTAGCATGGTTGCTTGAAGTCTCCCAAAAGCCAATGCTTTGAAAAGCTGTCTGAAAACATGAAGGACTTGAGGGGGAATGTCTGAGCCCCAGAATTTCCCAGGAAAAATACCAATTGTGTTTCCCATCCTGTCTCCCAAAACAGAATGCAATTCTGATTTAAATTGAACGGGTTCCAGTAAAGCTTCGGAAAACCATCATTAATACCAGATTTTGTTGCACACTGCATGCCCCCAAATAAGACATGCACCTTGTTTTTGAAAGGTGGAATGAAGAAGAGAAGATCTTTCCTTGAAAATGCCAGGCAGTATGGTATATTTGCAGGAAAAACAGGCAGCTGCAGTGAGATGAAGGGGGGAGGAATAAAACCTGTGGCTGCTCTGTTAACACCCTGGCTGCTGACTGACCCAAA